TTTTTTTTTTCCCTTTCTTTCTTTTTTAATTTAAGAAAAGTTAGAGCTGCAGCAGTGGCTGGAAAGCAGGGAGGAGGGAGGAAGGGGTCGTGTGCGAAGAAGCCGAGTGGTCGGGGTCACCTCCCCCTCCCGCCGACCTGACAGCTCAGCCGGTTTCACAGAACCCCCCCTGTTTCTCTCTGCGCCCCCTCCCCGCCCCCAGACTGCTGAACGAGAGCGAGAAGCGGCCCTTCGTGGAGGAGGCGGAGCGGCTGCGCGTGCAGCACAAGAAGGACCACCCGGATTACAAGTACCAGCCGCGGCGGAGGAAGTCGGTGAAGAACGGCCAGGCGGAGGCCGAGGAGGCCACGGAGCAGACGCACATCTCCCCCAACGCCATCTTCAAGGCGCTGCAGGCCGACTCGCCGCACTCCTCTTCCGGCATGAGCGAGGTGCACTCCCCCGGGGAGCACTCGGGTGAGTACCCCCCACAGCCCCAGGCTAAGCCTCCCGCGGGCCCCACGGGCACACCCCAGGTCTCCACCGAGTAGGCTTAGGGACTTTGCGCTCCCCGGGGAGGGAAAAACTACCCCTAGCGCCTAATCCCCCTCCCCTCCCAGCCCAGGGCCCCGCGAAGCAACCCCCACCCCCCACACACACACAGCTCAATCTCTACATCCTAGCAGATTAATTTTTATTGCGAGGTAAAATGCCTTTACAGCTTTACAGGACTTCTTCCTCCTCTCGCTCCGCCACCCCAGAAGCACACACAGGGTTCTTCCACAAGTAGCAATTCTGTCCTCCCGACCCTCCGGGCCTCAGACCTAGCCCCCCTCCTCCCCGTAAAAGGAGATCGCCGAATGTGTACTGGCAGGTTAATCATTTGGCGACTTATCTCGGGTGCACCGCGCCTCCCGCGCGGTTGCGGGTCTTTCTGACACTTTAGCTTGGAGGGGAGAGTCCCAGGAGGGTTCCTAAGATTAGGGCCTTTGCACAGCCCTAATTGACTTTTCTGTGCTGCTTCTCTTTTATTGCCCGCAGGGCAATCCCAGGGCCCACCGACGCCACCCACCACCCCCAAAACCGACGTGCAGCCCGGCAAGGCTGACCTGAAGCGCGAGGGGCGCCCCCTGCCAGAGGGGGGCCGACAGCCCCCCATCGACTTCCGCGACGTGGACATCGGCGAGCTGAGCAGCGACGTCATCTCCAACATCGAGACCTTCGACGTAAACGAATTCGACCAGTACCTGCCGCCCAATGGGCACCCGGGGGTGCCGGCCACGCACGGCCAGGTCACCTACACGGGCAGCTACGGCATCAGCAGCACGGCGGCGACCCCGGCGGGCGCAGGCCACGTGTGGATGTCCAAGCAGCAGGCGCCGCCGCCGCCGCCCCCGCAGGGCCCGCCGGGCCACCCCGGCGCGCACCACGACCCGCACTCGGACGAGGACACGCCGACCTCGGATGACCTGGAGCAGTTCGCCAAGCAGTTCAAGCAGCGCCGGATCAAACTGGGATTTACCCAAGCGGACGTGGGGCTGGCGCTGGGCACCCTGTACGGCAACGTGTTCTCGCAGACCACCATCTGCAGGTTTGAGGCCCTGCAGCTGAGCTTCAAGAACATGTGCAAGCTGAAGCCTTTGTTGAACAAGTGGTTGGAGGAGGCGGACTCGTCCTCGGGCAGCCCCACGAGCATAGACAAGATCGCAGCGCAGGGGCGCAAGAGGAAAAAGCGGACCTCCATCGAGGTGAGCGTCAAGGGGGCTCTGGAGAGCCATTTCCTCAAATGCCCCAAGCCCTCGGCCCAGGAGATCACCTCCCTCGCGGACAGCTTACAGCTGGAGAAGGAGGTGGTGAGAGTTTGGTTTTGTAACAGGAGACAGAAAGAGAAAAGGATGACCCCTCCCGGAGGGACTCTGCCGGGCGCCGAGGATGTGTACGGGGGGAGTAGGGACACGCCACCACACCACGGGGTGCAGACGCCCGTCCAGTGAACTCGAGCGGGGGGGAGGGGCAGAGCGCGGGGGCTCCCCCTCCTCTACGGTCCACGGCCCTTTCCCAGCCCCCTTGTTCCCTCTCTAACTTCTGATTGTTCTTTTATTTTAATTATTATTTCCCCGTCCCTTCAAAAGAAAAAATAATAATAATAAGGAAAGCAACTAAGGCACTGGACTATCCTCTAAACGGTAGCAGGTGTAATGATGTGTTTTGACCTTTACAGGCTAGTACCCAGGCAATGGAGTGGAGTGTCTCATAGAGAGAGTGAGGAGAGAGTGTGTAATAGAGAGAGAGAGAAAGAGAGAAAGAGAGATGGCAAGCACTGAGTTAAATACCTGGCAAAACTAAATAAATTACCAAAAAGAAAAAAAAAAAAACATCCACCAAACCGTGATAAACACAAAACAGCTTCCTGATGCTCGGAGTTGGCACATGCCGCAGTGTTGGTTTAATGTGGATCCTCATCAGGAAAGAGGGAAATATACACATGTTCTTTAATGTAGTCAAAATTTCACCACATAAATTTGCACTGCAAGAAAATTGAAGTTTACATGAACAAATTCATGAACGTATTTTTCTTTCTCCCACCGTTAATTTTGAAATTGCCGGGTTTTGTTTTGTTTTGTTTTATTCAGCAGAGAGAGTTGAAGCCAGCTCTTGGCTACTCTCCATTTCCAATGTTCTCGTGTTGCCCCTTGTTCTTCTTACTGTTTGTGAACTTTGGTTACCTTCGGTCCCCCCCACCCCAACATTGGTGTAACATCTATTTGCTTCTTTTACCAAAGCAAAAATGATTGGCTTCGTACAAAATAAATCATTCTCTGCTTTCAGGAAACGTGCATGGTCTACCCGCTTTATCCAAGGCAAGAATCCGGTTTGGAATACAAAAATGAGTCAAGCATTGGTTTTTGTTACCAGCCACAAAGTAAACTTCATTTTCAGGCAGTGTTTCTGGGGGAGGTTGTGGAGGGGAGAAAAAGAAAAATCGATAGTGAGTGACTGATTGCTTCATTTTATCAGGCGGGCCCATTGTGAAAGAGCTCAGAGGAAATGTGGAGGTTAAATATATTTCCAGAGTTGTCCAACAGAAAGTGGCACTTTGAAGAGAACTAGGGAAATATATATCTTCAGAAACCCCTGTATAGTTCTCTGCCTTCAGTATTAATAACTTGACTATGAGGAATTATTTGTGCTGATAGCAGCAGTTAAACTTTGTTCCTCTAATAGCTTTTTTTTTTTAACATAAAGAAAATAATCTGGGAACTTAATGGTGTATGCATAGACTGTTTCTTACCACCAAATACCCACATGCATACAGAGCATATCTCCACTCTAGACTGGTTTTGTCTTCACTAGCTCATTTGTTTATCAAATCGTATTTAAGGTCCCACACCCTCTTCTCTTATAATTTATTACGGAAAATACCAGTTTGACCTGGACAGCTTTTTCCCCCTCTTTCACTAAGGAAGCCAAATGAACTGGGAAAAAATGCTATTTTCTATCCTTCCTTTTCTCCCTTTGTTAATAGTTTTAAGTGCGTTTTTACCTTATCTTGATGGAAAATGGTTAACTCCCATAACAAAAGACTCTACTGGGAAGTGTAGGTGAAAAAACTTCTAACTGTATTGAAAATAAATACCATTAAACTGTGATCAGTTAAAATATTTAAAAATAATCAGCACAAAGGGCGCTCAAAGGGAAAACACTTTTTATTAATCTGAAAAGTTTGGGGCTTTTTTTCTGGTTAAGTATTAGACAGATTTTTATTTAAAAAATTAAATTCTCAATACCATAAAATTATGGTTCAGCATCAGATTAGCATTGCACTCAGTAGTTAAGGTTTTAGGAAATATACTTTATATTGTCTTTTCAAACACCTGTGATTGTTTCATTTTCAATGTTTTTGCAAGATAAATGATGACTTATAATGGGCATATTTATTTGCCTGTATTTCATTTCCCCCAACGAATGTCACAAGGAGATGGGCACGGAGCTGCTGCTTCGGGGTGCATCACGCTGCTTGTTCCTGAGGTGTGGGGACTGGCCTTTAGTGAAGCAATCCAGAGCAGGGCAAATAGCCAATGGTAAAGGGAGGAAATGAATTTTCAGATTCTTATTACCAAGTGGGTAAGGTCAGATGCTGGAGTTCAGGGGACGTGTCTATAGGTCCTCTAACTCTCATAGGTTTACTAAGATGAAAGTTACCACTGAACCTTACCACTATGTATATATGTTTAATATCTGTCTTTTGAAATGCAGAAATAGTTTAAATGTTTCTTTGTCTATTTTTCTTTTTTTTAATGCTACCCAGGGAAATATTTTCATATCATTTTTAAGTGGCCTGCCTCAATGTATATTTATTTCTTTTAAAGCAAAAAGGTTCTGGAAACTGTTTTTCTGTAGCTTTAAATGAGTAGATGAGCAAAATCTATATGGGATGTAATTTTTTTGTTCAGTCTCTTTAAGAATATTTTGTTTTGGTACATTTGGTTGTGCTTGTGGGGAAAATAAAAACGCAGAGATCCTTATATATTTATGTTAAAGTAATATTTTATTATCTACATAAAACAGAAATGCACAATACCTTCATAGTTTGTTCTAATTATTGAAATATCTTTATTTTATTTTTAAAGATAGTGCCAAGTTTTAAGGGGGGAGAAAACCCTAGACCTTATACTGACTGAGTTGAGTTGTGTGTAAAATACTTCCCTTCCTTTATACTTCATAAAGTTTTGGAATAAATTTTATGCGCATACTGCCAGGTTTCATGTTTATAACTCTCAGAGCCTTTTTTTTTTTAAGAGAGACTACTGTTTTGATTCTAATTCACTTTTCTTTGCAAAAAACTATCAGTTCCAGACCTTTCAGTCACTACACCTATAGCATTAAACTGAAATGGTCATTGGGTTTGAGCTTCCATTTGTTTGCCATTTCATGGTCCGACAAAGAGATGTTTGTAGCCTTTAAATAAATGCAAATATCCCTACATCTTCTTTCTCGGTTACCTTTACCTTAACTGATTGTGCTTTTTTTTTTTTTTTTTTGAAGAGCATCAGTGGAACTAGGTGGACTTTAATCTTTACCCACATGTCCTCACATAATTTGGGATCTAAAAAACAAAGCTTAGTTAAGGGTGTTATTCTTTTTAATAATTAACAAATATCTTTCAACCAAGAGTAACTCTGACAATATGCAAGATGTGTGTTTACCAAGTGATTATTGGTAGGTCCCATGTATTATTCCTGTTAGGTTTACAGGGGGAAAAAATGGATTTTGCAATGGTTTATACAATAGTGTCTGTTTCTCTTCAGGCAAGCAAACAGGCTCTCACACAGGGCAAGGAAAAAAAAGGAAAGAATGTATGGAAGACACTCAAGGCTGTGATGCTAATCACAGACTGTTTCAGATATTCTTAGAGGGAACATTATACTTACCAAAATCAGTGTAAGGTTAGTGCAACATCCAAGCAGTGTTGAGTTAGTTTACAAGTTTGCTGATGTATTTAAAGTCCTCCTTGGAACACTGGTTTAAGTATAAATGTCCATTTTGAAAGGCGGTTTCTGGGCTTATTACATCTGATCATCTTTTCTAACTCCTAGTCAATATTACACAGGTCCCAAACAGATTCAGCCAAATGATCTTATCAATAGTCTGAACAAGAAGTGACAGAAAGAAGAAGTGTTTTGTGACCGCAGACATGCTGATGGGTAAAATGTTTAAGCTGGATATAGATTTGAGTTCTGGGTCAATATCCTCCTCCATTGTAGGCAGAAAACAAGCAGCATCTGCCCTCTGCAGGGCATTTTAGTGGACCTTGAGAAGGCGGTTTTTGTTCTTAGCCACAGGGGCTACTGACTGGAAACCATCACGTGTTAAACGGACATGACTTGGTTTTGACCCATGCTTGCCGTTCAGATTCTAAAGCTACTCGGGCAGTTTCAATGCCGGTTTGGGGAATGTATGACACGCTAAAGTGAAAAACTCCATCACTGCCCTTGGGAGAAATTTGTGGGGAAGTCATCCCTAAGATGTTGGCCAGCCACAATAACAAACCCTTTCTTTCCCCCAAAGACAATAATGCAGAATGCGGCCATCCTGCAAAAGCTCCTGTTGTTTCCTCAAAATATGTCACTTTTAACATTTATGGTATAAGATGGGGGAGAAACGATCCTGTGGGAGAGTTACATGAAGGTCAGAGAGAGGGAATGGCCACAGATAATATTATGCTTGGCACTTGTAGACCTTCTCGGTTCCCATGAAGTTACCTCCTGTATATTTGAGATGGCAGCCACAAAAGCACTCTTCTTCACCTCCTGCTCCTACCAGTGGAAGCCACACACTGGTTGGCAAGATTTTCTGATGAAATGGCTCCAATAAAGGCACTCATCTCTCCTACCTTCTTATTTCTCCAAGAGCAACTAATAAAGAGATGCAACAGCAACAATGGGGGGAAATGGCATGTGAGAGCTTTGGTACCTGTGCATGTAGGTCCCTATGCCGCCTTCTTTGGCCTTTCACTTGCCTTCCTGTGGAAGCAGCTTGGGTAATGCTGGGTTGCTGGGTGAGAGAAATTATCATTTTGTCACTGGCTTCTGTGATTTGTCTTTGTTGATTTTTCAATCAGTTTATAGAACTGTGTTCTAGATTCTATTGAATCCCCAGACAAGTTAAAGAATGAGATAAAGAACAGAGCTTTTAACCAAAAAAGAAAGACGGATGGTGAAGGGAGGGTCAAAGGTAAAAGTGTTTCTTTGGATCTGCTTGTATATTTCAGTGAGGTGAAAGGGACAGTGTCTATTTAAAATGAAAAATGCATCTTGGAGGTACTAGCAATGAATCTTGACAATAGGACTAAATGGGATGTTCAGCTAAATTTTATACCAACATTATCCCTATTCAGGAAAGTTTACTTTTTTCAGTGACGCATAATATCTTAACAGGGGGCAGATGGTGGTAGGAGAGGACCAGGGCTCCTGGTACCTATTCTCACCACTTGATTCAGTACAGGAAATAATGCAGAAGTGGCAGGGGTGTGCCACTTAGCTGGAAAATCAAGGAATAAACTTGCCCACCTTGGTAGAACTTGGGCCAGAGTTATTCCAACGCTTCCTTATCTAGAGGTGGGTACAGGAGTGCCAGAAAATGGTTTTTTAGTTTTCTTAAAGGCTTCGCTTGGTTATGGAGATAAACAATCAGAATATTTTCACATTGTTCGTATGTTTTGTGGGAAGCTAGGAAATTTGTTTCCTCCTTTATTTTTTAAGGAAAAAAAAGTTAATTAACTTTACCATGTAGTACTTTCCCTTTACCTTAATAACAACTCTGCTTGGCTTAGCTGTTAGAGGTTTTAGAAACAATATCATATCCCATCAAAACAACCCTGGCCTCTTATTGTTAGAATTCTGGTTGTTGATAACACGAAGATGTATTTCTTAAAAAAAAAAAAAATGTCTGAAATGTTATTTAATACACCAGTAAAAGTGCATCTATATCTTAAAGTTTATTCCTTTCACGTCTTTCTGAGTTTTTATAGCTCTTTGTCTGGGATTTGGGGGGAGGGGGGCAAAAACTTCCATATGCGATTCGTCCGTGAAGAGCCTGGGCTCTGGAGTGGGCTGTATGTAGCTGGCGCAAACAGCTCTCTGCTCTCAGAATGGGGAGCTGTCATCTAGCAAAAGAAGGAAATAAATGCCCCACAAAGACTCACTTGTCACTGATTTTAGAAAGACAGGGGAGCACTAGGACCCCATCTGAGCAATATGGAGGGGATTTTGATTGTTATAAATTGTATACGATTAACTCTCGGTGTGCAGAACGACAGCAGTACGAAACCTCGCTGTGGAGTACATTTGAATCTGCATCCTTTTTGATTTGGGGCATCTATTTTTCCTCCCACCAGTGTCTCCTCTGGGTTTGTTGTTTAAAGGGGGGGAGGGAGCCACACACACAAAAATATGGCCAGAGTTTGGCAGGAGAGTAGAAAGAAAGAAAAAGTTTCTTGCGGGGGTTTGTAACACAAATTAGCCGTTGTAAATCACTGGGCTTTAAGGTTGAGGCAAATGCTCGTGGAAAGGGTTGGGAGTTCTTTCCCTCTTCCTGTTCAGAAATCTCTATTCCGTCCGAAGAATTTTTACGTTCCACAGCACACGATTCTGGAGACAATGATTTGACATCAATAACTTTTTGTTTGTTTGCTCCCTTAACAAAATATTCCTTCAAAGTTGTTACAGCGCCTGGCCAAGGCTGGCGAGAGTGCTGCCGGGCAGGCTGCTACTGGGCGCTCGGACGCAGAGGAGGCTCCCCAGCCCCGCCGTGAACCCCCGCCTCGGGGAAGGCCAGGCCGCTGAAAAGAAGGCCCACCCTGCCCAGCTTGTCGGCGGAGGGAGGAGAGGGGCCCGTGGGGCCGGGCTGTCCCTGTCTCCAACCCCGGCCCTCGCTCCGGGACACTGAGCAGCCCCACAGTGTCTGCTAGGAACCCTCTGCGGCTCCAGCGGCTCCGACGTCCTAATCTTTACGGGGAGGGTCGCCAGCCCCGACGTCGCGGGCTAGTCCATCACTCTCACTCTCCAGGGACACCCTGGGGGGGGGGGCAGTCAACGATTGGTGGGTTCACCCACCCGAGGCTGAGGATAGAGGTGGTGGCTAGGGGGAGGAGGGCAGAAGCCTTGGGTACAGCTGCCGCCCCTGGGAAAGTTGGTTACAGTCGCAGCGAGTTGGCGGGCCTCTCTGGGGGTGCGTGCGGCCGGGGCAGAGACGCACTGGGGCGCAGAGGTGACTGAGGGTCGAGGGTCCAGGGGCGAGTGAATCTCCGAGCTTTCTGCCTGCGCGGCTTTTCCGCTTGAGTCTGCCAAGTTGGGCCCAGGATTTCGCTTCCTGCGTGAGAGAGGCAAGCGTGGGAGAAGGTGCCCCGAGAGAAGAGGGCGGAGGAGCCCACTGCAGGAAAACTGGGGAGGAAAGGGGGAAGTAGAGTAATTTGGCCTTTTCTGGTGTATTTGTTTGTTTGGGGGCGACTGGGAGAGGGGCAAGGAGTGGAGCAAGGGAGCCCAGAGCTGGCAAGCGAAGTTCTGAAGCACGTTCCCTTCAGCCCACACCCCTCAAACTTCTGGCTGCTCCTGACCTCAGCTCCGGGCCTCCAGTGAGGAAGAGCCTGACCACCAAGTGCTGAAGCCGGGAAGAAAGCGAACCTCTAAACCCCTCGGAAACCGACCGCTCCCTGCTGGGCCTAAAGTCGCTCTTTTATCTACACGGGGGGAGTATCAGTTCCCCAGCGAAGGGAACCAGGGAGCCCCTCTGGGTACCTCAGCCTCCCAAGTCAGAGATGAGGGCAGCGAGCGGGGAGGGGCCGCGCCCCACGACCGGAGGCCTGGGGTCCTGCAGTCTGGGTTTTCACAGCACGGTCGAACGACCCCCATCCCACTCCCCCTTAGCCCTCCAAGGCACCTGGGAGGAGTCGCCTAGTGGGAGGAAATCACTCAATTCTTAAAAGCCCCGTAGTCGGGCCCTAGGAGTTCTAAAACGGCCTTTTGCCTCTGGAGGAGGTGAGGCCTGGCGGGGAACAGGGGCTCTAGGGGGTTGGGGACGCGGCGGGGCCACGGGGGCGGGCAGCTGTCTGAGGAGGGGTGGGAAGGCGGCCAGGGACAGTAGCAGGGGCTCTGGCCGGGCGCAGGTCGGTGTTGGCGCCTGGCCCGGCCTCTGCCCGGCGCGCGGGGCCTCCTGCTCGCTCCCGCCGCGCCAGCCCGCGGCCACTCACCGGGCCCCGCGGCCAGCCCGGGCGGGGACGCACGCAAACAAGGATGCTTCTATTTACTCGCCTCTGCCTGTGGATTTCTAAGACATTCAGCAGGCACAATCATTAAACTAATTTGTATTTGATTGTTTGGGCGGACGGAGGGTAGTTTTATTGCGCTAAGCATTCAAGCAGGCACGCATCGCTGATTACCAGTATACATTAAATAAAGTTGTTTGTACACATTGTCTTACCACATATAGGCAGAGGCTTATTATTCTAATTACTCTAATTAGTGCATTGAAATGTTTTCTACTTGATTTGAGGAGACAGTGATTAGTTCTATTACTTCTTTTAACTCGTATTTTATGGAAAACTGTTGGTGCATGTTCAAATTACTTTATTTGCCCCTGGAATATAACGCTGACCCAAACGCAGTGAACTGCACGGCCCTTGCGGGGCCCCAACTTTGATGTGGGCCTCAGCTTGGAAGACGCGTTTGTTCTTTATTATTTCCCTCCCACCCGCGCGGCCGCGTCTCCCAGGCCCGCCGCCCCCGCCCCAGCCTGAGCCCCAGATGCGCGCCCCGCACTGGCCGAGTCCCAAGCAGACGAGGATCCGAAACCCGCTTCGACGCCGCCTCGCTGGCCTCCTGCCCCGCTAGTTCCCTGGGTGCGATTACTTTTAAAAGACGCCCTTAAGCATATTTTCCGTGAATCTGTTTCTTGAGCTTTAATGTTACTATTAATTGATAAGATCAGCTCATCAAACATACTATTTCGATAGGGAATTGTAATTAAAACCTTAATCCTGTTTGAGACTTTTTTTCCTTTAAATTCCTTTTTCTTATGGAAGGGGTGCAAAGTTCACTATAAAAGTATTATAACAGGGAGATTAATTCGTTATCTAAATAACAATCTTTGCTATTGATCCAACGTACTTTCCTCCACCTTTTGTGTTGGTCGGG